AATGAGGAGTTCACCCCCACAGACCCTTTTTCTCTGTGTTGGATGGGTCTGTCCACTCCCCTATGCCAGTATCTAGCCGAGATTTCAAGAGTGCGTATAATTTGTAAGAGTTAAAAATGCATAAAGTAGTGACTGTGTACAATTATTATTTAGTTTAAGTCTCTTTTTAATCAGCTATTGTTTTTAAATGTATGCATTACCTGGCTCCGTGGCACAATGGATAGCACTTCGACTGCTAGATAAAGAAAACGCATGTATTTAGTGAATTTTCACAAAAGGCTAATGTGTTTTCTATAGGCTTTACTGTAATCAAAAAGGAATGGACAACATACCCTTATCAGCCATGGGAACCAGCCCAAATTCTATTAAATTATTTAGTATAAATAGACTATTAGTAAATAGCATATTACAAGAAACACACAACAGACACACAAAACAGGTAAGACAAGAAAATCCTCCTGGTTTATCATAGTTAAAACACTAAATATGAAGAACAAAGAAAGTGTGTTGAGAGCTGCAAGAGAAAAGACACAAGTCACACATAAAGGAGAAGCCACCAGAACAATTCTGATTCTCAGTGGAAACTTTGAAAGTCAGAAGAGCCTTGAAGTAATTCATCCCAAATACTAAGAACACGATAGTCCACCTAAACTAATATGCTCAGTACATTCCTTTTTAAAATATACCTTTTAACTGTGATTTATGTTAGGTTTACAGAAACGTTTCAAAAATAGTAAAGAAATTTCTCCTACATCCCTCATTCAGTTTCATTTCCCTTTAAAACCATGTTCCATGTTTCAGTGGCATCAAAAATTGTCAAAAAAAACAAGGATCTGTAGCTGGAGAGATGACTCATCAGCTGTTTTTTGAAGACCTGTGTTCAATACAAAGCACTCCCATGATGATTCATACCAATCAAAATTCCAGTTCCAGAGGAACTGATGCCCTCCTCAGAACTTCACAGGCACCAGACATACACATGTTACGCATACATACATACATGCATACATACATACATACATACATACATACATACATACAGGAAAAAAGTCTACCCACATAAAATAAAATAAGGAAATCTAAAACAAAAAATAAAGACAAGAAACCAAGACTGGCACATTACTATTAACTAACATTTTTTTGCTAGGTTTTAGTTGTAACTTATTGATACATTTTCATCTCATAAGTATTTTAATGAACAAAATTAAGATTTTTCATAACTAAAAATGAGTTGCAATTTTAGATATTCTTTATTCATGTAGATTTGAAATTTGGTTCCTAAGTCTCTTCAATATGAAGTGGTAGCATATAGTAAAAAACATTGGATCATAAATTTGAGTTTTAAAAAATAGTATTAATATCAACATGAGATTCATTCTTAAAGTTTCACCATGTGAATGGCATGAAGTTACAAATAGGATCATTAAGACCGGACTTAGAAATTTGAAAGGGAAACTAAGGAACTTGGAATTTATTCAAAGCTGATGGGAACCAATAGATATTTTTGAGAGCATTAGTTTTATTTTGACACTTTACAAATATTAAATAAATGCTAAATATATAATTATATGTAATTAATCTGTAATAAACATTCAACATATTGAATCACTATATCATTTGTAAGTTACTGAAATGTCTACAGCAAAAAATAATAGTTTACTTTAATAGCAATAAGTTGTGTCTTCCTTCCCTTTTGAGTTTAGGTTTTGATTTTGTTTACTTTTCTACCATGCTTTCTTTAGAAATTCATGTCTGTGAAGAACTGCTAATACCAAACAGGTCCACAGTTGCTGTCATGATACATTGTGCAAGGGGTACTGTGTTCTTCTCAAGACAGAGTGATCAGCTGAGCAGGAAGCACTGGCCGCTTCCTGAGCTCTTCTTGATAGCATTCTAGACTTCCTGGTTCCTTAGGCAGTAGATGAAAGGATTCAGCACCGGTGTGAGGATTGCACAGCTGCAATAAGTTTGTTGTAATTAAAAGACATGACAGTAGACCTTGGAAATACGATTGTTGTAAAAGTGCAAGCTCTGGATGTGTCAAACATGTGCTATCTGGTAGATATGTGCCTCCTGCCCCTAGAGACTCAGAGATCTCTCTCCTTGCCTGTGATCTATTACCTGTGTATTTTAAAGGTTCAGGACACACATGACTATAACTATGAGCCCATATTTAGTAATATTCCTGCGCTGACTGGTTACAAAGCAGAGCAGATGGGGGAAGGGCAGCCCAGTCCCTGGGCAGAGAGCTCAGGGTAGGGTGTGGGGTATGCCAGCCAGGAACCTGTAAACAGATAGGAACTAAGGATACTGGGAGAACCTGGAGGCCAGGGTTTGATATGTTGAAAAGCACCTCAGTTAGCCATTTGTGCCAGACTTGAGACCTAACAGTTGTAAAACACAAGACTCTGATCCCAAGGACTATGATTCAGATACCTAAGAGAGTAACTAGTAAACATATTTCCAAGGTCTGAGAAGTTAAAATTGAACTCTGGCCTCCACTGAAGTTCACATCACGTAGGAGCTCTTCCCGTTCTTCTGCTAATGAATTCTCATGTACTCAGGCATACTTTTTTATTAAAATACTGCTCCACTCTGTTTGCTACTAATGTTCTTTCTTCTTAGTAAGCTCTATATTTAACCATTGAGTAATGAAGAATTCTCTCCATTTTTATTAACTTGTTTTCAGAATAAACAACACTGAGCCTGAATATCTCTATATTATGAAAAGAGTCCTATCATTGCGCTACAAAATTCTTTTATACTCTCTAATACTTGCTCTCAAGAGACAATACAGCCTGATAGATTTTTTTCTAGAACAAGAAACATATCTTTTATATCCTTGTCAAATGCTCTGAATATCCTCCACCAACTCAAATTTCTCCGAACCTGAGTAAGATATACTGTGCACTGAACTTCCATTATTCTATTAATTTCCTTCAGAATCCCACATAAGCCCAGAAATGGTGCCATTTTACATAGCTCCTCATAGAGCTTTCTTCAGACCTAAATAATTTCACCTGGTGCTTCCAACCACTCACCATAGTGAAACTGTCCTCTTAGACAAAGGAAAACTCTTCAGACATTTATACTAGAGAGGGCCATTGTGGGTGGGTTTTTACATTCTCTGAAGTCAATGTCTAGTACTTGTTTATGCTGGATGGAAATTACTACAGCACTGACACAAAAAGACAGGAGAATATAGTTCACATTCACTTAATGTTGGCTTAGATGAAGACACCTCTGTCTTCTCAGGAGGCTAACATAGGCATTTGTCCTGACTCTAGGGAAGCTCTGTGTACTGCCAAGATCATATGTCCAGGGGACCTGGACAGAAAAAATTAAATCTCTACGCATCAGTGGATTCCTGATTATACCTTAACTAAACCTCTACCTGTGGTCATGGCATTTTTTTGTCTTATTCCTATATGCAAGTTGATGTGATTCCAAGTTACAAAACCCTTTAAAAGAAATTTAACTAGGTTTATGAAACAGTACATTAATTTGTTTATGTGTGTCTTAAGATATACCAGTGTTTTGCTTTTCTATTATTTCTTTATTTTAATTGACACATAATTATATATATACATATGTATATGTATATACCACTAAGTGGTATAGTAATGTGTGTGTATACATTCTGTAATATCATGTGTGTGTGTGTGTGTGTGTGTGTGTGTGTGTGTGTGTGTGTGTGTGTACCTTTATGGACATGTCTTTTTCCCAGTGTTATTCAAATATGCATACTATGATGTTATTCACATGTGAACTCTGAAAAAGTTGATCTCATACAAATTGAGAATACAATGGTGGTTACCAGAGACCAGGGAGAGTATGGAGGAAGGATTACTGTGGGAAAATTGGCTAATGAGAGCCAAGTTACAGTTAGAAAACATATGCAACACTACTCATTTATTCATTCTTTATATTAAAAGACTAAGATCAGTTCTTCAAAGTCAAGATATTTAAGCTATGTGCATGTTCTTTGGAAATGTATGGGGTTCTATGTAAAATAATATATACTAAGACGGACATCTGGAGAAGTGACGAATCCTAGGGAAGCTTTGTCAGTCCCTGAGGATCTGAATCATTCTATGTATGTGTAACTAATTGGAATTTGGTGGAGAAGTCTGGACCTAGTACTTCTTGTACTTATTGTCTCTTCTTCTTCCACACCTTCCTCCTCATCCTCTTCCTCTTCCTCTAGTCATATTCACTGGACATGTACATGTACATGTAGCAAGTTCTATGTGCTTCATTCTTGTTTCTCCATAATCTTAGGACTGGCCACAGTCTCACAGGTGGTAGGAAGCACCATTAACTAAGCTACAACCCTAGCCCTGCTGGTCTTCTTAAAATGCAGCCATGGAAATGAAAAAGCACTCATTCAATGACCTCAGGAAATTTGGAAATGGAGCCAGAAACCACTGTGATCCAATAAATAATAAACTACCAGCACAAAAATTCACAGTTTGGGCTGGTGATGTATATCAGTTGGTAGAGTGCTTGCATAGCAAACACAAAGCCTTGGTCCATGCTCACAAAGGCACATAGCTGCAATCTAAGAACTTCAGAGGTAGAGGCAAGAGGCTCAGGAGTTCCAGGCTCCTTTCCTTACATGGAAAGCTCAATGGCAACCCAGAATACATGAAAATCTGTCTAAAAGTCTTAGTTTCTTACTTCCTTCCTTTGAAACTCACAACAGAATGTTCACCTTCTGGGCTTCAGTTATTTCACAGATTAGTTATTGGCTTGTGTGCTTTCCTTCTTGTAGCCCATGCTTCCTTTAATGCACTTGATTTGTATGAGCTACAACTGTCAAACAATACCGGGATAGATCTTACCCATAAACTAGAGCCCTTTCCTGCAGGGGGGAGGGAGGGAGGGAGGAAGTGAAGAAGAGAGGGAGGAAGGGAGAATCGAACAAATGAACAAAAGAACAAAGGAAGAAATGAAAGAATAGAACCCAAGTTTTACCAGACTTATCAACTCCTCCCTACCTAACCACCTCTGCCAGATTTCTTGTCATTAGCATCCTGGCCCTGGTACAGGTGCAGAGTGCGACGTAGGGCTCTTTTAACCTCTTGGTTGCGCAAGCAGTAAATGATGGGATTGAGCAGTGGTACAATGACTGCATAGAGTACAGAAACCAACTTGTTGGTGTCAAAAGCTGAGAGTGCCTTAGGCCTGGCATAGATGAAGATACTGGCTGCATAGAAGATGATCACAACAGTAAGGTGGGAAGCACAGGTCGAAAAGGCTTTATGACGGCCAGCAGCTGAGGGGATGCGCATCACAGCACCAGTGATGGCCATGTAGGAGGCTCCAGTGACAGAGAGTGGCCCCAGCAGAATAAAAATGGCCAAGATAAAATCTGTAAGTTCTGCTGTGGACATGTCAGTGCATGAAAGGTTGAGCAATGGAGAAACATCACAGAAGAAGTGGTTGATGGTGTTAGGGCCACAGTAAGACAGACGAGAAATGAGGAAAACTTTAACCATTGAGATGCCGAAACCTCCAGCCCAGGATCCAGCTGCCATCTGCACACACAGCCGACTACTGACAATGACAGGGTAGTGGAGGGGGTGACAAATAGCCACATAGCGGTCATAGGCCATAACAGCAAGAAGGACACACTCAGTGCAACCCAATCCCAGGAAAAAGTAAAGCTGTGTCATGCATCCCTCGAAGGAAATCAGCTGTCCACGGTTCTGATTGGAACCAATGAAGCCAGCAAGCATCTTAGGAATTGTAACAGTGACATACCAAATCTCCAGGAATGACATATTAGCCAAGAAAAAATACATGGGTTTGTGGAGGGTGGGGTGGTTCCTAATTGCTGTAATGATGAGTGCATTTTCAGTCAGCACCAACACATAGGCCAGCAGAGAAAAGAAAAACAGTAGTGCCCGCAGTGGTGCAGGAGCTGGGAAACCCAGCAACACAAATTCACTCACTCGCCCACTGTGGTTCCTTCGCTCCATGCTTTCAGTCTTGTTTACTGCTCTTCAAGAGAGGAGACAAAAGTGTCTGACGAAAGCAGCAGCAAGAATCTAGCCTGGTAAGTTTAATCTGATAGCCTGCAATACATGTGGTACATACAGTTAATAGCAGCTGTTCACTGAGTGGAGTAACGAGCCAAGAAAACACAGACAAAAATAAATTACAGTCAGATGCAGAGATCCACAGCCAAGCATAAGGTCAAGCTCCAGGAGTCCAGTTGAAGAGAGAAGAGGGATTCTATGAGCAAGGGGTATCAAGATCATGATGGGGAAATCTACAGAGACAACCAAATCAAACTAGTGGGCACTCATGAAATTTAGACCAACAGCTGTGGAGCCTCCACAGGACTAGACTAGGCCCTCTCCATAAGCAAGACAGTTGTGTAGCTTTATCTGCTTAAGGGGCCCCCTGGCAATAGGATCAGGATCCATTCCTGATGGATGAGCTGTCATTTTGGAGTCCACTACCTATGGTGGGACACCTTACACAGCCTTGGTGCAGAGGGAGGGCATTGGAGCTCCCTCTACTGAATGTACTAGGCTCTGCTGACTCCCCAGGGGAGGCCTTACCTTGTTGGAAGAGGGAATGGGGGGTGTGTTGGGGAGGGAAGGCTGGGTGATGGGAGGAGGGAAGAGGGGGGGGGATCTGTGATTGGTCTGTAAAGTGAATAAAAAAATTCCTTAATAAAAAAAAAGATAAAATAAATAAATTACTGTGTATTACAGGCACAGTAAAAGTGGACCTGGCCCTTGGAGAAGCTTGCACTGAGAGATACCAGGTAAAAAAGAAGAAAAAAAAAAAAGATGATAGTCCTAATGTCACTCTTTTAGTGCTATACAAAGGCAAGAAAAAGAAATCAAAGCAATAAATGTTGATGGTTAAACATAGAAGTGATGCATTTTCATAGAAGTAATTTTAAAAACACCTAAAATTAAAAAAAAGTAGGATTTTTAGGCTTTCCTAAAGTGAGAATTTATCATAAGCTCTATGACATCTCCTTTTTGAGGAAGTAAATTACACAAAGAGGGCATAGCAACCATATATAACACAATTGAATATCTACTATGTATTAATATTAGAGGCATTGTTTTAAAACATTGGTAGTACTGGTGGCTCTTCAGAACAACTCTGAGGTGCTATCACTAATAATCCCTCTTATACCCAAGGAAACCGAGATATAAAAATGTTAAGTGTGAGGCTGAAAAGATGTTTCAGTGGTTGGGAGCAGTAGTTGCCCTTCCAGAGAACTGGGTTCAATTCCCAGCACCCACATGGCAGTGTACAACCATCTGTAACTCCTGTTCCACAGAATCCAGTGCCCTCTTCTCACCTCCATGGGTACCATGCACACACCTGATACAGACATAGATGCAGTAAAAACACCCATACAAATAAAACTATATAATGAGAAATTTAAAAAAAGAAAAATTACACAGATTTTAAAAAGTGGAATCAGAAATTTGAGACTTTAGAACCTATGAAATATTCAGGTGACATGCACTCCAGATTTATATTCAAGAGCAGGAATCTGTGAGTTCAACTAGGAATTCAAGCTTTTCCTGCAAAGAGGGAGACTATGGCAGAACACCAAGGGGTACAGCAATTATAGGGCTCAAGTCCCACATAACTTAAAACTTACAAAGAAAGTCTAGAACTCACCTAGATATCAGGTCATAAAGTAGGTGCTGGATGACCTGAGGACTGAAAAGTCCATTGGTTCTGAAAGTTTGGCTAACTCTCTTTCAGAGTAATGTCATTCCATTAGCATCAAGGTCAAGGAAGCAAACAGTCAGTGGAGCAGTCTCTTTTTTTTTTTTTTTCTTGATAACAAAGTGAGAACTTTCCCTTCCAAACCCTCAAGCCTTCTTTAGTCTGACGTGCGAGAGAAGTTGGCATTCCCACGTAACAGGTCATATGAATAAAAGTTTATTTTCAGTCAATGTCTTCTATGGTCAGGGCATTAGGAGGGGAGACAATGATCACAGTAGAGAATGGAGTGGAGTCTGCTGTATATCTGAATGTTTTTCCTCCCAGAAGTTTCTTCCGCATTTCTTCTATTGCCTGGGCCTAGAAACGGCAGGGGAAGAATGTACTCACAAAGCAAACTCTAGTAACCTGCTAATATTGGAGCTGCATTTATCTTTTTAGACTAGGAAATCAACCCTTTGGCATTTGATATTTCTCTCAGTAACAGCCTTACTAATATGTTGGTTTCATAAATGGAAAGTTGACAGCTACAATTGTCCTTCATGACCTTAACCACGACCATCTGCCTCCATACCTTCGTCATATGCCACTCATTATGCTTTTGACCCCCTTGGTCTCATACCTTCATCTTCAACTTTTAATATTTTCTACTTTCATATTTTAAAATCTGGAAAAGAAATCTTTTTATATATAAACTATCAATTGTCTTTACTTACGATCTGTCCCCTAAAGTTTAAATCATCAGATTTTACTCCTTTATTTAAAACCCATCCATAGTGCCTTGTTGGCTGTTAAAACTCTTTGACAAAGCACATAGCTATTTCATCATCTTCCACTGCTTTCCCCAGAACATTACATCTTGTCATGGTATTTTTGCCAGTGTATTTTTGAAGCACAATTCTGTGTGTCAGTGTGCAGCTCTGATCCTGGTGCAGTCTCCGTCAACACAGCTGACTCAGTCTTTGTTTGTGGAAGCATGTCTTCATATGGTCACTATTTATCCTTTCTTTCCTATCCTCCTCATGGGGCTGGTAGTGTGCCTCTTATTATTACTTCCATTAAAATCTATACATAAAATCACTACTGTTGCTCAGGTGGATGTTAAAAAGGAGCTATGAATTTGGGGTGGCTCATATGTCCTCATTGAAACAAAAAAAAATGGACAAAGTCCTCTGCGTGTTATTGAATTTATTAAATATATGTGTAGAAAATAATTAAGCTTTTCCAAACCTCTTTTATGATAATGAGTGATATGTTACCTAAGCCAGAGATCTGGACATTTTCTAGATATTTTTGTACTCATCTTCCTACTACCCTATATCCCATCATAGCTAACTCAAGAACTAAGTTGCCTCCTTAGTTATCTCTCGTGGCTGCACCCTCTTTCCTGTCCTGGTTCTACTACCTTCTTCCTAGTTCCTAATACCAGGTCCATTTTACTTCTTGATTTTATAGCCTCTTACTTGTTCTCTATTCTTCCCACCTAAACATGAGGCTTTTTAACATCAGATTGTTTCTGGGGTAATACTTGTACAGAAATCACTAACCACAAGACCATCCAGCTTAGGAAAACACATTCAAAACCTTCCAATGCAGCTTCAAAATGTGTCTTCTTTTCACTTTTCTACCATAGACTAGTCATCTGTCACTGATTCCTCTTTCTTAGCCTGTCATGGTATTCTTCCACTTTGTTACTTGGCACATATACCTTTCATTATCAAAAATACTCAAGCTGTCCCAAGGAATCTTTATCATTAACATTTCATTCCCATAATTATTATCCCTCTAAAGCTGTCCATATTCAGTATGAAGGAATTATGCTTTCATGTGTCCATTTCACCTTCCGACAATATTTATTTAGTTAATGATTGGCAAAAACAATATGACTGCTGGGTAGAAAATGAAGGAAGATATAACATGAACAGAATAGATAAATTGAAGATTGAAGGAACGGAATACAGTGCAAGTCAAATATATGAAGAATTTGTGTGGAAATGATCATCTATAGAGACTGTAAATAGATCTTCGAGAGAATTTAACACATTTTGGAATCTACATTGATTGTAGGTCTGACAGACAATGAAAACATTCCCATTAGTGGATTTCCCATGCACCAGTGGGTAGCCTCACATTCATACACATACAGCACCAATTGGATTTAGTGGATATCAAAAAGAAAAAAAGGGAAAACTGACATGAAGTTTTGGAAGGGAGATACATGGGGTATATAGGGGAACTGAAGGAGGAAATGGAGGTTGATATGATCGTTTTTCGTTGTATACCTATATGAAATTCTCAAGGATAAAGAAAGCACAATTAAAAAACCACAAGTTAGATTAAGGTCAGGGAAAGAAGACCTTCTCTAGAATAAAGGTGTGACATATAGGTAGAGTGAACTTACTTTGTAGAAGCAGTGTCACTGACAGAAGACTATGTGATGATTTCTAGAATATGGAAAATATGAAGTGGAAGTGACAGATCATAAGGGCTGTAGGGAGGTAAGAATAATATGAATAAATAATAACAAGCTTTTAATGAAAAAGAAGAAATTATCATCAACAGAAGTGGCAGAGGTAGATAATACAAACTAGACTTTGGAGTTTTAGTAGGTATAGAAACGAATAGTTAGATGACTATTCTTTGTGGAAATAAAGAAATTATGGAAAAATGACCACTTGCCAAGGAATTATCACACAGTAGACTCTACTTACTTTTTCATATGTCCTTAACTTATTAGAGTCCTTCTAAGATGGCCATGTTAGCTAGAAGAGTACTTAGGGAATAAATGAAAAGAAGAGTTGAGGTAACAGGACAAATAAAGCAGCTATGGAAACTCCACCTTCTCTTCCTTCCATGATCAGGGAACTCTGACAAACTAGGAAAGATTCCTCTATACACTACCTCCCTCCTCTAGTCCTGATTCCTCCCTCCTCCTTCTGATGCTTTGGGATGGTTCTGAGCAGGAGCCCAAGAGACCAGAAGTGTTACAAGATGAAAAACAAACAAAAAGACTAAGATAAATGACATAGAAAGAAAATGCTTGCCAAATTTGAGAAACAGTTTATCAGGAAATTTATATGAAAGAAATGGTGTTCTAATTTTTCCATAGGCTTGTAGCTTCTTTTTTGGGCCTCTCACTGATAGACAGTCTTCATTTCTTTCTTGCTTGATATATTTCTGCGCAAACAGATGCTTAAAAGGTTGTCATGAGCTTTGGACCTGGTCAATCGGATAGTTTGAGAAATCACAGAAACATGATATGACTCAGCTATAC